AAACGCAACGCGCCAGGTGCGTTCTGCGCGACATCGCGTAGAACATGATACGCGCGCGTCAATCTCCATAAAAGGGTTGTTTTCATCTTACTCGCCAGCTGAACACTCCATTATTTTGCAGGAGGGATGTTTCAAAAAGCATAAAGTGAATTTGTTGAACAAAATCGGGATGTTTTGAACGAATTATATGATTTTTTTTTTACCGAAAAGGTATTTATGAATGGGAATAAATATGTACTCCGTCGGTATTTATCACTCTGTTTAATACCACTTAGAGTCTGGGTGCTGATAATTACCCTCGCCTCCGGCTCGGGTAATTATCAGCACCCAGACTCTAAGTGGTATTAAACAGAGTGATAAAAACCTCCGGAGCACACATTTATTCCCTTATTAAAGAGTGTTCCACCTGTAATCTAAAGAAAGCCTGAGCATTTCTTTTGAAGAAGCGTATAACATGCATGTCAATTTCAATCGTGGGCGTCGCGCGGGGGGAGGGGGGGGGGGGGGCAGGGTTTCCCCTTGGAAAAAAAGGATTTAAAAGAAAGGGGGAAATGAAAATAAGAAGACGTATCATGGTTTTTAAAAAAGCGTCGAGTGATGTCTAGCACCCCCTCTCGATTTTTTCCACGGCCGGTGATTTATCCCCACGCTTCTGGTGAGGGCTTCGTCGCCTCTATAAAAAATCCTGGCGACGCCTATGCCTATAGTGCAAACACAAGCTGTGATTCCTATACACTGTACGAATGTGTTTGCGTTTCAAATAAGGCATGCTCAGCATTATAATATATATGAATATAGTTATATAAAGACATGTATGTATAAAAGCGGTATATTCCTATATGGCCTACTTTCTGTGCCCTAAAACTTGACCGAACAATTTTACATGAGTCATCTTGGGCTCGTGCAGTAACGATTTCACGCCTGATTAAATTTGTCTGCTTTGAAAACAAAATCATACTCAGCAGGCCGGGGACCCATATTCGAGCTCAGTCCAGATTACACGGAATGTCGTTTTTTTTTGGGGGGGGGGGGAAATTATGGCGAGTGAAAAAGATGTAACTACAGATAGGTCTGCCTCGTTGATTGCACTGTGTGGTCAGCCAACCGTGAAATCTTTGACCGAAGACGAAGACACGCGTACGGGGTTATACAGCGCCCCAACCCCCATCACAATCTTGTCACACATAGCCCTCGGGCCAGATTGACCCCATATTCTAAATATACGCATTGTGTCCGGTAATGCCGAAATTATGATCTGATACTGAGTGATATTTACCAGCCGGGGCGACAACGGGAGTAATTCCTTGCTGTTTTCTTATTAATTGCGGTGTTCTCACGCTTGGATGGTCCAGGGATCGCGATTGATCTGTCGCGACGAGTGCCCTGGGACCACTGTCAAACATGTTAACTCAATATTACTCCGTCTTGTGGGAGACGTCTTATAGTTTTCCCGCGTTTCTTTCCATTGGTCAAAAGTTTACATACCTAGCATATTATATTGTTGGTTGGCCCTGATGCTAAATACACGCTTCCAACCTACATCCAGCGTTATTTTCACCTTCGTGTAAGAAAAAAGCACAGCGATCAAAAATATATAGGCCTACCAAACTGCGTCACTAATTTCAAATGAACAAAACATTTCTTATGTAGTGTTACGTTTGGTTAGCTTATGGCACATTTCTTATGCACTGCATAAGAAATTAATGGGCCCCACAATATAGGCCTGTGTTCCTTTTATAAATATATTCATGTAGACTGAGGTAGGCCTGATAATATTCAAAGGCCATTACTATGTGGACAGGGACATGCCAACTTTTCATTTTAGATCCAACACGTCTTCCATGCTAGCCACCTGTGACCATTATAGGACTCTTCGTAACTTCAAGGTCATGAGATGGATTTTTTTTTTGAGGAACACATTTTGTGTGCTGAAATAGCTGCAACATTGAGGTTTCTACCTGAAATGACATCACACATTTGCTCATGAATATGTAAGTGGTCAGAAATTGCCTCAGATCCCACCACAGAGCATCTAGAATCCAACATTTTTTCAGGGTCCTTATTAAAGCGGGCCCCGAACCCCACGCCGTAATTTTTGGACCCACTTTTTGGGTGACCATATTTTTTTTGCCCCCCCCCCAAAAAAAAATGTGTTCTGGATCCGTCCTTGACAAACAGATATATTACGATCATTTTGAAGACAAAGAGTCTCATTGAAATATATTTCTAGTTCTCTGAATAATTATTGCAACGATAACACGCACATAGTCTTTGTTCGTAATCGATATGAAGACTTTACCATAAAAACTGCTAATTACCTATAGAAATCGCGTAGGCCTACAACGCCGTGAAAATTCACCCGTTTTACAAAATCTTAATACGTAGAAGGTTGCCTTCTCCAGCGCCTCTCCCTTTGAAATGAAATAAATTACTGCTGACACATCAATAATTACTATCACGTATACGGGCCATTTGTGTCACATTATACATGACAGTGGTTTCTTGAGTACCTTTTGCTATTAGCGTTCGTCTACGCCTGGTAACACGTAATAGTTGGATGTCTTTTTTTCCTCTACGGAGTTCACATGAAGAGGCGAGCACGATCGGGTGAGAAGCAGCTTGAGGGACAATGTCCATGGTGAAGCGTGTTCGCGTTGGATTTTGTCGGCCATCCTTTAATTCTAGAACGTCACGTTTCAATCTCTGATTGTCTTTGCCCGCTGGGAATCGTTTAGCTCAGATTATATCACGGTTTATTTTTTTCGGCTCGAAGGGCGTGCACCGGTATAGCTGTACACCATAATCTGTACATAGCGTTTGTTTCTAATAATTATAGACAAGAGAGGCAAATTGTCGCTGGGGAACTAAAGCTGCTATATCTTTTTGTAAGACCCGAAGCTCGGGTCAGCCTACTGTCCCGTCAGCTGACTGACTTGGTGACTGACTGACCGGACTGACATTCAGACCGGCAGACTGAATGACAGAGTAACCGGGGGCTGGGGGGGGGGGGGACTGGGTGCTGAGTGGCAGGTTGCAACGGGTTAGAGATACAGCGGAAATAGGGACGCTGATAGAAAGAAGCAAAAAAAATCGGGACGGCGAATCGGACTGTCGGGGAAAAAAAAACCCGTGCGTCCGTGGCCGTCGGCAAATTTGCAGGGATGCATGAAGAGCGCCACCTTCTGGCCAATTCTGGCCTTGATTTTCTGCTTATAACGTGCATATTAAAAAACAAGTGCCCACCATCAGAAGATGGTGCTCATCCCCCGCTTTTCCATTTTGTGGAGGGCGGATGGCCGAGGGGAAATCCTGTCTATCCGCAGAACAGGACTCAAGCTATCTTCATGGACGAACTCATGCAGTTTGGTGAATTTTGACTGTCCGTGACTGTTTAAATAGCAGAAGGGTTAAGGTAGGCCCATTTCATAATAGTTTGTAGTTTTTTTTAAATATTTGCAAATAGACCCCATGTATTTCTTATTCAAAATGACCGAGCGCCCGGCAAGGTTGCAATTGGTTTTGGTCGAGTGTTTTTTTGTACTCTCCTCATCACCAGAATGTTGCCCACGTCTATGCCAGACATCATACAAAGCATTATGCATGTATTCCGACTTACTTGGCAAGCCTGGATGCGACTGGGAGATCCATTCCTTCAGATCCCCTAACTCAATTTCCTCCCAGTTGACTAAGAAAGTTGACCGTCTACTTTGTGTCTCAAGGGCATGTAACATTACGAGCCTAGCTCGAAGCCCTTAGATTAGTTTACGCGTACACCAAAGACATCTTCTTTCCGTGCACGTCTGAGCTCCACACTGCACTGACGGCTATACGGATGTTTATTCCATGCCTCTGGACGTCTTTTTTCATTACATGTATCATATTATCGTTTTTAACATTGATTTCGGAGGACACCTGTTTCCCACCTCCTTTGACTCTCATTCCAAAAATAAATTGGCACGGTGCCCGATGGGAACTTTTAAATAAATCTCTTCAGTGTTTTTGTAAAAGACATTCCAGACCTAGGGGTCCCGGCAGCGATGAAACATTTCCTTTGACAGAAGGAATCCCAGCACTTCCAGGTACTAGGTACTTGTCCTTATTCATCGAAGATATTGAGGACATTCTGCATAATCACGGCTTAGCATTAGAGGGCCTTCATATTTTGCATCCTTTCTCTTTGAATCGTTTCATTATCCATTGTTTGCTGTGCTTACAAGCGCCGTTGCGCCCTCTGCAGTCTGGATTTTTTTTCTCCACATCTGCGAGCCGCGTTCGGATCAGGTGCATAACTAAAAATTGTGGGCCCGGGGTGCCATCATTCGCTACTCTATGTAGCGCGATATGGGGCAGAGGGAACCCCTTCCTTTGTGTTGGTCATTGCGTTACCAGAATCTCAGGAATTCTTTTGAGATATCTGGGGGGGGGGGGGGGGGGGGGAGGTGGTACACGTGTTGGTATCAACTGCAGTGACGTATCTTATGGAGGCGGGCTGGCGGTCTCCCCCCCCCCCCCCCCCCCCAGGACGTAAAGGGGCGGGGCCTGTGTTTTGGGAAGCTGCTTTCAATCGGGATTGTGATTTGAATTGAAGTTTGGACCCTATGTTGCACAGAGACTGCACATTGCAAGTACATTGTACACGACAGATTCAATTGAAGGGAAACCCCCCTCCTCCCCGAAAATCAATCCCTGACGTCGTGCATAATGCATTTGAAGGACAGGGCGTTGGTAAATATACACACATTATGGGCCTTTGTTATGAGGGTTTTGCGAAACGCATTAAAGGAGGTACGGGGGGGGGGCCTTCGGGCGTCACAGAGAAACACCGACTTTGATGGCTAGACATTCAAGAAAAATAATTGCAACATGTCAATAATTTAAAATACCTCATCTAAATCTGACATCAGGCCCTATGTATAATTGTCATATTGCACATGTACATGTATGTATCCCAATATAATATAATTACAGGACTACAAAATAATTATGTTCTAAGACACAAGTTCGTGTAAGTATCTCAACGAAAAAGTGGTGTTTTATTCAAGAAGCATGCGTTCGAACAATAAAATCTAGCAATGCCAGAAACTTGAAGCTAACCAAACTTTTCACGAATGACGCCATTAACGATGACGTAATCAAAACTACATTGGATTTGTTTCTCATGAAAACAATAGTTATAACACATTCTCGTTCTTGACCAGCGTTAATTCAGTTATGTCATTTGTTTCACCTAACTTTTTCGCGTCTTTATCCTGGTCTTTATCTACATCATCAACAAACGTTTTCCATAAAAAATAACCGTGACAGCATATTATACATTTTTAATGGCATCGTCACTGCGTTATAATGGCTACTTTCTTTGGACATGTGTAGGCTCAGCGCCTAAAGTCATATTTAAACATTCGCATTATCTTGCAACAAGAGTGGCCAACAAAAGTTTCGCATTTACTGATTTAGTGACATTTCCGAGATTATGGCTAAAGTTTTAACAGGAGCATTACGCAGTCAACGGTTACGATACACTGCGAGGTCTGCGCAATCAGAAACAACCAAAATAAACGGTTCTCGCTTTCTCATATTGGTAACTACACTATTCCCACAAATTGGCCAAGAGAAAAAAACCCCAAATTTCATTCAAAAATATGTACATGCAGTTTACTTACAGTTTGAATGCTATAAACAACGCATAAGGTATTAACAAAGATGACATGACGTCAACAGCAACTTGCAACAACTGAAAGACACCATACATTAACCTTAACTCCCTTGGCATTTCTGCTAGAATGCAACCTTAATCCTACAAAATCTTCCGTTTTTTTCTTGAATGTGGTCCTTGGAGGGGTGACCACTGCCTCAATCCTGCAAAAATCACTGTCAATATGTTGAGGCAGAGCCAGTGACATCCTGGAACAGTGCGGAGGATTTCAAGACTAAGATCGAGGCCTAATTCTTTTAAGCACGGCTGAGCATAAACAACACAAGGTCTGTCCTAAGACCCCGACACAATGCATTCTTCCAAAATCCTGCAAAATCCTGCAAAATCCTCCATTTTGCAGGATTTGGGAAGGTTAGGGTTAAACACGATTACAAACTCTTCTCAGCAACAACAAAATCTCTATCAGTGGCGCACCCATAATTACGGTAAGTGTGGGATTTCGGGCTGTCGTTGCTCCCCCCCCCCTTATTTGCTCTCCCTCTCAAAAAGTTATAACTGGGTTATCATTTGCATGAACCTGGCACTTCAAAAAGAAAATTAAAAAACCCTTTAAAATGCCTCTACTAGGCCTACTGAAAGGAAACAACCTTAAAATTAATTACAAAACATTGTGGCTTCGTCTACTACAATACAATCACTGCTAAATACTCGAATACACAAAACGCACATTGACAACAAAACAATTAATTTACAAAGTGGTTTGAAGTAAATTGACGGTCTCTGAAAATAGGTGTAGTGTTCACAAATTTTTAACTTGTGCCGACAAGTTTTTTGGGAAACACACAGTAAACTAGTTAAGCATTTTAGTTTAGTTTCCGTTAATTAAATGCGCAACTTTGGAAATGGCGAATTCATTGCCTATTGTTTTTAGAGTCATTGTAATATCACAACCCTTCAAGTTCATTAGAATCAAACGTCATTTGAAAATCCACTATTATTCCTTTGGCAGGATAACATCTTAAATTAACTGGCTTCGGATGATTCAAGTGCACCCATAATGTACATACAGATTTTCAAGTACATGTACATGTATTTCTCAAACAGGTAAAAATTTACCAGTTGGTTTTTCTTACAATTATAACATGTACATAATATATGCTTGGAAGCAGCGGTGTAAAAGAAAAAGGCAAACAGCCAAAAAGAGAGCGAGAAAGTCTGACGCTTTGACTTGTACGAGCAGCAGAATTGGCTTTGAAATGCCAATAATGCTTTATTTGATTAAGGAGTGACATTTTCCAGCATCCAAGTAGAAATCACAGCATGAAGGTACAGTAGAATGCTATGTGCATGCACTTTGCTTGGCCTTACTCAGATAATATACAACAGACGCCTTATGTCTACACGAGTAATGGCAGCTTTGAAAACATCAAAAGTGGCTCCTTTCACAAAAATCCTACACATTACCCTTGTCACCAAGAGAAAAGGCCGTCTTTGGTACAAATGTACAGAGAAAACACATGGCAACAGTTAAAGGTTTGGATTCCATCACACGTTTTAAATTCTGGATAGCGATTCAGGCCTCCAATTTTTTTCATTTAGGTGAGACAGATAAAAGTACATGTAAGGAGTCACAGAAATCTCAGGTGGGGAAAAAAAAAAATCAAAATTCCAATCTACACTTGTGTCATATGTAGGTTTGCAAGGCGGGACTTCTAAATAGACGCGAAGCTTCACAATTTTGCCAACAGTTTTAAAAACTGCATTATTCTAAACCCCACAAAATCTTTTTTTTTGTATACATGTACGTACTTTAAAAAAAAAGGTAAAGCACAGACATTTTAGCTATAAATCAGGACACAAGTTATGAATGGAAAAAAAAAGTTCTTTCATTGGATCAGGCATGCCAGTGGGGACCTCTAAGGTGCGATGTGGCAGCAAACTTCTTAGTCTTTGAGTAAACATTTAGCTAAATGTAGCAAGAAAACAAACGACCAAGAAACTAGCTGCCATCCAGCACTTTAGAGGTCACCGATTGGGATAATAAGCTCATTTCAGGTCACAATCTAACGACCCATTGCAGTGTGGATGTTATGAGACACTATGGGGTATGTCAAGATAGAGGTTGGGACGCTCTGCATAGGCATGGCAGGCTGAGTCGTCATCACAGATGCTAGAGACACTGGTTGGAACTCCTGCTGCAGAGAGACCGAAACAGGGATGGTCTGCATTTCAGAAGCTATAAGAGTAGCCTGAGACCTGTCACCTAAACCTGCTTCTTGCTGGCCAATCAGATTAATAGCCGTGACACCAGAAGCTCCTGGTGTGCCTGCACTCTTCTGGATGACAGCTACGCTGCCCTGAGAGAGAAGTGGCACCCCAGTGGTTGACCTCACAAGGTGGGTCTCCGCCTGCATCAGCGCATTGTTGTTCTCCGACTTGGAGGCCCTCAGACGTGCATTCTGCTCCAGGAGGACCTCGTTGGCGGCTGTCAGGTCAGAGATCTGCTTACGCATCAACTCAACCTTGCGCAGAAGGATCTGGTTCTCATCCTCCAGATCCCTGGTGTCACGACTGGAACTTCGCACCCTGTCACGGATTGCCATCCTCGCACCAAAGTCATCACCAGAACCTCGCCCCGCCTCAAAATCAAGGTACCCAAAGCGGTCTTCCAAGGGAGGACGGCGGCGGACGCGGTCATACTCCCGATCATACTCCCGATCCCCGTATGTACTTGGTGCATAGCGGGATCGCATGCGCCGTCGTTCCTCAAACTCCATGTCACCTCGGCTCATATGACGAAACTTACACTTGCTACCACGGTTACACTCACCCTTCTGGTAATCCCGACAGATCGGGACATCATCAAACCCACCAGACTCGGCGCCTGTGATGCCATAACCCCTGGCTACCTTTTCCTCCAGATGCGGTGGCAGCTTCCCCGTCTCCTTGTAGTAATCTTCCTCTGCACGGGAGCAGTGGAGGAAACGGCAATTGGCACGTACACACTCTCTATTCTGGTAGTCATGGCAGAAGGCATACTTATGATCGCTCCTGGACTCCACACCTTCTAGCTCCTCTGGATGCTTGTATTTGCAGCTCCTGCCACGATTACAAACTCCACGAGTGTAATCTCGGCAGACATCATCGTTGTAATCTTTATCTCCATTAGACATGTTGGCTGAAAGGCTAAGACAAACTGCTTAAAATGAAATGAAAAGTTAAGTTTTTGTGTTTAGATCTAGCTGCAAAGCGTCAAGTTTATCCCACTTTCGGGAGGGACAGCGGCTGGGAAGTTTTGAACAGTTTATGAATGCAGCTTCAGCAATGCTATTTCAATGTATGTAACCTTAACCTTTAGCGGTGCTTCTTTATAAGCTGAACTCGCCGCAACGGCTGCTGCTGCTGCTGCTGCCCTTTAAAGCTGCTTGCTACGTCCTGCTGCGGCTCAAATGCTGCTGGCTTGCTGCACAGGTAGCACCTGCTGGCTGTTCTGCTGGCCACAGTATAAACTGCCGCACTGCACTGCACACTGCAGACCACTAGATTCCGACGGCTGTGGGTGCTGGCTCACAAACTGCGCTCAGTGCACGCAATGACCGCTTCAACGCAACAGGTGTTACTGCTGAGTGGGCCTATCCTCGGACTGAAAATCTGTCCAATTGAAAAAGTAAGGGAAAGTCAATATTAGAACTCTTGAAGCAGGTTGGGCCGAGTCAATCTATGCTTTGATCTTGGTTCTCTTAACCTACGCAACGTTAGAGCACTACTCAACTTCAAGCTTGGGGTTTGCCACTTCTTTCTTCAAAATAATGAACGACTCAAACTAACCAATGCTAAAAAGGTAACAAGTTTTATCTATGCTTATTAGCGAAACATCTCTACTTACACATTAAGGAATGAAGAAACATCTTCAGTACATTTAAACAAGAAATTCTTAATGTAGTTTCTGCACCATAGACACCTTTAAGATACTTGTGTTTTTACAGACAAGTTATTAAACTAAACTGGTGGTTACTACGTCAATGGGATTAAAAAGTCAACAAAAGAGTCTTCTAGTTCCAGCTACTCTGTTGGAACATGGTTGAGGTGCTACTAGGAGCACTGAAAGTATCTTGATAGCTGGACTGTGCCATTGGAGTGACCGTTTGACCCGAGGGAAGTATTGATTCCTGTGACTGCAACAATCCCCTCAAGCGCTGGTTCTCTTCCACCACCACCTGATTGTCACTGAACAGGTCGCTGACTTGCTTAGACATATCAAGCTTCTCGGTGGTCAGCTTGGTAATGTCTTCCTCCAGTTTGTTCCGGGTCCTCATCAAGTCATTAATAAGCTCCTGGTCAGAGTTGTGGAACCTCTTATGATCACTAAGCTCTCGCTGTAGCTGCTTGTGGTCTTTCCATAAGCCATCCAACTCAGTCCTCAAGTCTTTTATGGTGCGCTTCATCTTCTGAATACGCTTGGCATCACTTTCCGGTGAGGCCTCTTTCTTAACAGTACTTCGACTTGAGGAGCGTAAAGGACTGCGGCTTCGACTACGGGCATGCTTTGGACTCTTTTCTCGCCTTGGACTTCTGCTTCTGTCTTTTCTTGAGTCATGGTGATTTCTACCAGCACCATCTCTTGACCTGTTCTTTGGCTTCGAATCGACCCTGCTGTGGTCCTGCTCTTCATCGCTGCTGTATTGAACTAATTGGTCTTTCTTTCTGAAATCAAACCTTTCAGGTATGATCCGATCCTTTATGTATGCCTGATGCTCTTCGTTGGTGAAGTGAAGGTACTTACAATCCGGGTCAGGGCACCTCTCCCCATCTTTTTCATGACGATACTGGCCACAGATTTTTGGAAGCAGAAATAAACCTCTGGCCCATTCTGGATGGTCAAACTTGCAATTCATCCCATAAGTGCAGCCAGTACTGTTCAGAAAATGGAGGCAGATCCAGGTGATCTTGGTCTTGAGTAACTCTTTGCAATGCAGAAATCTGCATCTGTTACCAGACATACATGTGCCTACTAAATAGAATCGGCACACACGCTGGTCAACGTAGCCGTCTTCGTCCAGAAATGCTGCCATGTTAAACATGTACTTTGCAACTCAGTTTCAATATGAAGAGGGTGCTAATGTCACCTTCGTCATACAACTTCAGTCCTGGGCACTTTTCAGACAACTGGTCTTAGTCTCTTTGGTCAGTGTTTGTGGGTTTGCCCTTGCAAATGTTCAAATCTCAATGCATGTAAACGTAAGTGAACGAAAGGCAACCTTGTTTTCTCTTGTTGGCTTGGCTCTGGTTCTGGCACTATCTGGTTCAAACTGGTTCGATCTGGTCACTGCTGAGTGGAGGTATTGACTTCCAACTTCTAGAGATGACGGAAGGTACTTGTCAGGAACCGGCTCTTCTTGCTCACTTTCAGTATTCTGAAGCAACAGTCGTCACTTATGACTGTTACCACCTGTTGCAAAAAACAAAGAACATCAGGTTCAGTTAAAGCTGCAATGACGGACACTTCAGTCTGAAGAGTCACATATTTACTGTGCTGAAGGAACAGTAACTTAAGCACCACTTCAGACAAAATCGCTCTGAATTTCAAACTTATCTGGAACAGGATTACAGATGAAAATGTTGGCTAATTTAAACTATTCATGGAGAACTGCCGAATCACCAAAATTTGGAATTTGAAAATCACAATATTTAGTGACAAAAATGGTAATGGGCTATGAGAAAAAAATCGACCTTTTTGCCCAAAAATGATTTAAGCTGTTCCTTACGAATTTACGTGCAAACAAATTGAAGTTCAAACTTACTTCTTGCCACAAGAACATTCAAGAGTATTTTTACTTTCACTTTTAATCACACCAGGTCTTTTTCTTTACAGCTTCGACATAAGTCAAACTTCTTTTTCCAGCTTCTGTGCGGTGCATTGTTTTACTTGATAACAATGGTTTCTACTTTTCTCTTTTCATTTTGATCACTTCTTCCATAACGTTGTGAAGCTGTTCCAACACTTAGCACTTCCATTCCTTGCTTTTGCTTTTCACTTTATCTCATTCATTTACTTCATTATAAGACAGCTGTTCCAACTCTTGCAATATTCTCAATGAAGCCAATATAATGATTTCATTCCAAATTTATCGCCATTTGCAGTCTGGTCACTACTTCCAGAACTTGGTTTTTTTTTAATGTTGATGGTTTCTTAACAGGTTTATTTCTCCGAGCATTACGACACACTTCTTATTCCTTTATGATCAAAAACGCCCCCCACGTTCACTTCCAAGACAGTTACAGAGTATGGACAATCTCTGTAAATCCATATGTTTTTGTTCACACGATTGTGGGGAAAATGGTTTATCACATAAGACGAGCTTCCAGATAAAGTCCGGAAAACCTTGTTTTCCGGACGACTGTAGTATACAGTAGAGGGTGTACTATACTAAACCAACAATTTGCGATTGGTTACAAATAGCCAAGTACATGTACACAAGATATCAAGGGGTGATGCCTCAAGACAAAAGATATGCTTCAAGATAATTTCCTCAGAAGAAATGAAAGCAATATTCCAAGACATCAATTAATCATCTAAAATTCTGACGAGACCTTAGTTCCCACTGTGAAGACCTCAACCACAAAACCAATTAACCTGGCACACTGTTACGCCACATAATTGGCAAGAAGCACGACCAACAGTGTGTAATGCTCATTAGTTCTTAATGAGCAATTAACACATACATTGTACATGTACATGGACATCACGGTACACATGTACATGAACTCATCAAAAGCATTCATTCATGTACATGTACATGTACATGTAAACCAATAGAATATGTGATACTTTAAACAGCAGGACATTTTATGATTGTCTATTTATCGTATGTCTTTTTACGATGTTCAGTACATGTGTATGTTGGTGAAGAAACTACATTGTACGTAGCACGTAGACAATTTCTTGACATCTCTTCTGTCTCTATAGACCTCTATCATACTGCCACCATTTCAGTCATGTTCCCTGTTGCCAATTAAAGTATTGAATGATAATGTTTTGTGCAAAAAGGGAACCAGACTTTTTTTCCTACCAGTCTCTTTGGTTACGTTGATTTGAGTGGGGAAAAATCAAGATGGCCGCAACATGATAATGGTCTATACCACAGAACTAAAGGCTGGGGGAAAAAAAAGTCTTACAAGAAACATTTCATAAAGGTTTGGAATACTTTATTAACAGATCACAGGGTGAGCAACAAACTTGTGAAAAACGTTAATAAAAAGTAACTACATGTAGCAAATAACAATTAACATAAAATGCATTGGATATCATGTTACATGATTAAATGTTAAGAACCCCATCAGTAGGGCAATCGAGCCAGGTCCAGATTATATCTTCAGGACTGAATTTCATTCCCCCCCCCCAAAGTGTTTTCAAATAAACGCGCATCGGCTGCATCGTATTTCGAACACATTTCAAACAAGCGTGCATGTTTGGAACATTTTCAAAACTGCGTATGCGTGCTTGATTGCGTAAAACGCAGTTGCAGTTCTCCTACAGAGATGGCCGTCCTTGAACGAGGCCTATAAAGTTTCTGAATGGAGGCAACTTCACCAACTTTTAACCAGTTATTTACAGAAAACTAAGCAGTAACAGAATTTCTGCATATTGAGAAAAAAGGGCAATACATATAGAATGGAACTATGCTTTTAAGTACATGTACGTGTAAATGTTTGCAACAAAATCTACTAAGTTTAAGTGGGAGAAAAGACATGCAACAGTTGAAGTAACCGACTTCACTTGCACAAATTTATTAACCTTTTTCCCTATGTGAACATAATTTTATGCGGAAGAGTATGATGAAATGTCTTAAGTCATTACAAAATGCAAGTTACCAAGTAAACCAGATCAACTACAGAACTGTATTTCAAGCTACATTTTCACTTCTTGTCACATGTAAATATGTACAAACACAACAAAATGCTGCGTAACTACTAAACCAACACGGCTACATCAACAAAAAGATTGTTTAACGTGCCAAAACTTTTTATAAAACTCACAGCATGTTTAATTCCAAATGGGTAATATAAGGCAGAAGTTTCCTTGAAACAGCAATACTCGGTGGAACTTATGGAATCGGTTTAAGCATGTTCTTGTGAAAAAGATTAGGGTGCTGGCTAGATCCAATGCAGCAGATCACGAAAATCAAAACTTGTTGTTTCGTTTTAAATTTTTCAAGCAAAGAATTGATTTTTTTTTTTTTAATAGAATTGACAGCCCTTTGCAAATATGCAAAAGTTGAAGAAATTTATATCAAGTAGAGATGCTCTCCAACCACATTGCTGCATACATGTATATTCAAAGGTTAGGCCAACTGTTACATGTACATTTGTACCTGCTGTAGCATTCCAACAAACACACAACACGACTCACAAAAATGACTGTAGATTAAATGTGAAATTATGTTATTGTTTTGTGTTTGCCTTTTAAATAAATCGCAAGTGTAGTTTCTTAAATACATTGTACAGTACATTGGGAACATCGCACTTATTAATTTCATTTAAAATCCAAATGTGAACTAACACCTAGTTCATGACCTATGTCATTGCAACATTGGTTTACGTGTAAGCATGCATGGGTAGCTATGTTCATACATGACATGGGGAATTTCGTCTGATAGGAACTGCAACTGTCACGACCGTCATTCCATCTCTCCAGTTAATAACTGGTGTTAAAGAGAAACATTGAACAAGTATTTTGTCACAAATTTTACAACAGAAGTGCTTATTCTTGGAACCTGTCTTTACGTGCTCATCAAAGTGCTCTGAAATACAAATTTTCTATAAAAGTCCCCAGGCCCCACCCCCCCCAAAACCCAATTTCAATTAAAATTAAATTATAAGTAATAACAAAAACAAATAAAGAACAAATCTAATGAAAAGATTTATATCTGTCACTTCGATTTGGAGTCATTATTGCAGCTAGTGCATGAATAAGCAAAACCTCGACCACTCTACAAAAATAAAAGTGAAATCAAACATGCAATGTAAAATCCCAATTAATGAGGCACCTGTTACAAACGGCTCAATCCAAATAATTTTTTTCTTGTCTTTTTTATGGACATGCTCAATACAAGTGAATGTAGAATTTAATTTTCTCAACATTGGTATCATAAACACATGCTTGCCGAGGGTACAATCATGGATGATTAATATTCATAAGCTGCGCTGAGGCGGCTTTCATAAGCAGGACGATCTGCGGCGTACTGATCAGATTCAAAGCCAGAACTTCTGGCAGCGGCTCTGGAAGTAACAGGATCAAGAGCAGGTGCGTGAGGGGCTGGCACAGCCACTGGCCTGTCGCGCAGGTAGCTATCCAGGTCACTCGATGCTGCCTCGGGTCGGCGGGGTGGAGCTCTAGCTGCATCGGGGTCCGCGCGGAGACGTCTGGTCTCCTCAAGAAGAGACTTGTTATCATCCGTCAGGTCCAACACCTGACGGTGCATGCGGCTCAGCTTGTGACGCAGAACCACATTCTCATCTTCAAGATCGTTGACCAGGCGCATCAAGCTACGGACGCGATCTCGGTCTTCTCGCATGGGGGGTATAAACCCACCCCGGTCATCCCATGGGGGCATGGGGCGCTTACGGGGCGGACCGTAGTAGTCTGGCTCAGGATGGCTGAACTTGCACTGGCTGCGGAAGCATTTACCATTCAGGAAATCCTTGCAGACCAACTTGGTTTGCTCCACCTTGAGCACGTCTTCCACGCCTGGGGGCAGCTTGCCGGTCTCTTTGTAGTACTCCTCTTCCTCCTGGCTGCAGTGTAGGTAGGTGCAACCCTCACGGGGGCAGCGCCCGTTCTGGAAGTTGTGGCAGAACTTGATGACTCTCTTGGTACCCTGCATCCCGGTCGGATGCTTGAAGATGCACCTGTCGCCCCGGATGCACTCATCTCTCAGGAAGTCCCGGCAGACTTTATCTTTCAAGTCGTTGGATCCTTCTTTCGAATCTGGATGACTGAACTTGCAGTTGGTGCCCCTATCGCACTCCCCTCGCAGGTACTCTCGGCAGATTTGGTTATCATTGGATTCAGACTCACCAGACATGTTTAGGACAAGATCTTTTCAACCAACACGAAGATAACCACAAAAGCAGCAGCCTCAACTCTGAAACCAGAACCAAGTTCTACAGTTCAAATTCAACCCTTTTTTTGGAGGTAACTGCAGTTCCAATTTATCACTCCACAACTGTATAAAAAGGGATAAAAGGAAAGTAACATGTCAGCTAAATCACAAGTTAATATCTGATAAAGGTATCAGGTACCGCTGATGCCTGGAACCGGTTCCAGATTATGGAACCGGGTTCTCGTAACTAAATTTACAAATTACTCAGTAACTTTTCCGACAAAGGAAATGAAAGGTTTTGAATGCCATTTGTGGGAAATTTTCAAAATGAAAACCAGGCTACAAGGGAACAATTTAACGTGTGACAGATGATGCTCGCGAAAGCTGCAGTTTACACCACAACGCTGCAAAGCCCTACAGACAACTTTCAGGATTTTAATTTTGGGGTTGGTTATTTTTAAGGGGGACCTATGTTTTACTTCAATAGGGTTCCCTGTTCCCATTCTACCAGTAAATGCACACTTCTATATTATGCTGAAAATGCTACTTGAAAATCACTTCCTGCTTCACAACAGACAGTGAAATGTATAGAAATGTACCATAAAGCCAAGAAAGTTAACAAGGTTGTAGACAAGGAAGTTGGCCATGAATGCCACTTGATACTAAGACTTCGATCAGTGATGATTTTCTACTATTCTGTGCGCAACAAGTACTGCTTCTCTGTAACTTACTCATGACGTGAATAGCCGGTTTGTACACAGCACCCTCAATGTGTGATATTTAGCAAACAAAAACCAACACCCAGTACATGTCTCATAGAAAAACTCTATAGGACACGTCCAATGAGAAACACAATGGTGCTCATAAACTCTCATAGTGGGTAGTCATTTTTGGGAGCAGCATGTAAAACCTTTAACCACTTCGCCCCACTTCGCGACCCATTTAAAACCATTTTTCCCATATTCTAGTAGAGTTAAAGCTGAATTATTGTTTGGAACAAAAAAAGTGGACTGTTAACACCAAAAACATAGTCACCTATTTCTGAGCCTTCCTTTGATTTTTCGAAAGTCGATGGTCACAGCCTCCGGTCACTGGACTTTTTCCAACTGCAACCTGCAAGAAATAGAACTTCAATTATTTTTTTTTAACCCATGTTAACATTTTTGAAATTGACAAACACCGTACAGTTTTAAAAGTTACGAGACCACACCTACTTTTAGGTTTTAATTATCTGCCTACATTTTGCACTTTCAGTAAAACAGCACCACCATGTCCAACTTCCCTACCTTTTTTGTAAATTTAAACACCAAGAAAAGCTCTAAGTGATATTAAAAGACATATGTGTACTCGAGTCTCTTACCTCTAAATCATAAGTAGAAGCTGACCCAAGATCATTAGAACCAGGAAATGAATGACAAAGGATGCTATCTCCAGAAGTCATGAGTCGCCACAGAGTCCTGCACGCTGCCTGCGAAAATTGCTCGCACCGAAAACCGCGAAGAGGCAAAACGCGCAGCATCAATCAAACTGCATGGCTGTAGTTGCGCAAATGCTTTCACAATCAACCGCAAGCAGCGTCGCACCGCTTTGATTCCCGATGCGCAACGTGCGCACGAGCTTGCTCGGTGGATCTTGAAAAAGCACGCACGCATGGCAAACGCTTGGTCCAGAGGTTGCGATTCCGGGTGCAGCATGGACGATGAGATTGCTGCAAATACTAATCGTTTGCTGACCTCTCTTTGCAATTTGCTCAACTGTACATGTTTTACTTCAAATCGCAACATTCACAACTGCTTGCTTTCATATGAACAGAAACACTTCCAACTGCTTGCCGTACACGATTCACATTTTCTGTCAGATGCTCATTCTCAATTCAACTGCCGGATGTTCCAAAGAAAAACTACATGTTCATATTAGCTTGGCAAGTCTTTATCGCACTTCGCTGCAGCACTTATACACATAACTTGCAGCTCGCTTCAGTTTGTATTGCAATAAACAGCTGCGCCAGCAATAGCATCAGCTGCAAGAATTTCACGCTGCGATTGTGGTGTCATGAACTGGGACAGCACCGCACTACGGCCCTAAAACTTGACAGACAAGGCAACTACTTACAAGTCCTCTACTTACATTGTGTACAAGCGCTCCATCATATGCAATGAAATGGCAAGGGTTTCTATCACAAAGAACCACAGTGAAGTATTACTGCTGCAAAATCTAACCTAATCTTCCATTGTGCCATGCCACTTGAGCTTCTGAGTACACACCTGCGCCTATTCTGACACATTAAATATAAGCGCCTATTCCAACACACCACTCATCACGCGACGGCAATGCATGTTTTTGCTTCCCCTGAACGAGGGTAAAAACTGCTCTATATCACAACTGAATGTGTACAGAAATATTTCACAGACATCTTCGTGCAACCCCAGCTCTATGGTGCAACACTGCTGCCACTTCTCCATGTCTTAGACCCATTAGTAATAAACAGAGCACATGCCAGCTCTACAGTGCAAGTATAATTGCAAGACATAAAGAAGACAGGGGTAAGGTGTAGACCATGTATCATGGGATGTAACTTCTCTTGGTGATGAAGTCTTGAGCCCTCCAGACTGCGATTTGAAAAATTGAAGTACAGTGCATGGGCTGTTTACATGTTTAACATTGCTGATTGATGTTGTAAAAGAAAGTGATTGTGTACTTCCAGTTTCCATTCCTCTTAAGACAACGAAAGCCCACTTTTAGGTTATTGGACTCACCAAACTTTTTAGTGATGTTTAAAATTAAAACGAATGCCAAAAATAAAAATAAAACTGGGAATTACTCTCATGCATGAGGATTGCGCAAAACCGTGTTGATTTGCATGCCATGGGCTGAAAAATGAGCAAGAAAATCCCATTTTCTACCAAAAGACATACCGGTAGTCCAAAATTACAAAAAAAACCATGTTCGTTAGAAATAAAATTAAAAAACTGCTTCGGCCACATGATAAAAGTTTCCTGATTTCTCATCAGCGCTCGCATCCAAAAATTTGCGCCGCATTCAATAGTATAATTTTTTTATTTTGATCAAAAAAAATCCAGCATACACTAAAATTTGGAAATTGTCATTAAATTCGCAGATGTCAGCTGCGAAATCGCCCATGAGTAGAGCGTTGCGTGGAGCTAGCGTAGAATGCTGCCTAAAATATTGCAAATGGTGGGCGTACATGTAGGCATGGTATGGGCTGTGGTGCACTGACCCATTGCAAAAATCAACGCATACATGCCCCCCCGAAAAAAATTTATAATAAAAAAGTAAAACTAAAATTAAAAAAAAAAAAATTAAAAAAAGAATTTACGAAACTGCACATTTTTTAATCATGGACAGCATGTAGGCCTATGGCAAGGCTTTTCCAAAGATTAAGGTTCATCTGACAGACATGTCTGATCAACAAGCGTTTAACATCAAGTTGCGTTTCCATGATTTGGGCCACTTCCCAACATTTGGAATTTACCTTAACCAGTTGTGATATGGGCAGAGGGGGATTGTGGGAAGGGAGTGTACAAACTACAACAAATTTTTGGCCATTTTGGATGAAAACAAACGCTTGAATATGATAAGAAATACAAACGTAATCCTACTCCGTACGTTTTATATATTCTGCTCTGCAATATTCCCTAACGCCTTTTATGGCTTACGTTAAGTAACTTTTTGCATGCTAGTTTAAGTACGATACAAAATTGTTGAACAATCAATTCGATGTTTGTCGTGCCGCTGCCAGCATTGCCGCTAGATGGCGTCTCGATGACGACCAAAATAAATTCAAATAAAATGGTCATAAACATATTTATTTGTTCCATGACTGGTATAAATATTGTCTCTACTGAAGGAAGATATCTCAGCAGTTGATACAAACCTTTCCAAATCCCTCTAAGCAAAGATTTTCCCAATCTGAAATTGAAGGACGGTCCGACTTCGTCGCTGCGTGCCCAAGCGATGAAGAAGAAAATGGCGTCTTTTTAATGTCATGTGAGACCTGGTACCCGATTCCCGTATGCGTAGAAGCATACATATTATAACGCATATGATTGGGACCCGACTATATCCCATAGTAATTTTCCAAGCCATGCGCTTCCTTAGTACGCGTACGGGGGACTACAAGCCCAAATAAATCTGTACACATTATTACAAAGAAAAAAAAACAGGATGCCAACAAAATGTTGTTTTTTTCGTAATATTTGTGCCACTTTGAGAGGCTGGTAATACCGCAAATAGTTCAAGGTGTTTGGAGTAGGCCTGCGGCTCAGCGAGATATTCGAAGGGCATATATTGTAACACAAAGATGCGGGCCCCGCAGTCAATTGTGTACATTTCATGCCGCGCCAATACGTGCAACTTTTAATTTCGGCGCGGCATTTCGGGGTTTCATGAGCTTCAGCGCTTGCGGCGCTCTCGTTATTTCTTAAATAAAGTGTTCCCAAGTTGAGGTATCAAATTGAACCGGAAAGTTTCATAGTGACAAAATGTTTATTTCGGATATTTTTGTTCACCGAGATATATCCAACTTACAAGGATGATTATAAAAACTGCTTAGTTTCTTTTTGTGTCAGGTGTATGCAAGCAAACACCCCGCCCCTGTTTGCAGGGCGGGGGTACGAGCGAAACCTCCAACCATGCGGGGGGGGGGGGGGGGGGGGGGGGGGGGGGGGGGGGGGGGGTATTTAACCCTCCATATTTTCTAAAGAACTGCCCTTTTCCGTTGAAATGCCCTTTTGTCACCAGCATTTACCCCATCCCCAATATTTCGTTAGGAGTGCCTTTTTATTTTTTAAAGAAGTGCCCTTTTTTTCTGAGTGCCCTTTTTAAAAAGAATGTGTGCATTTGTTTTGTTCAATTGTTCGTTCCTGGTGCATTGTTTCGTAATTTCACGCACCTTTTGCCCTGAAAAGCCCCATATATTGTCCTGAAAAGTGCCATAATGCTGAATAGGGGGGGGGGGGGGTTGCAGCCCCCTCCAGATCAACAATAAGGGAAGTAATTTCTAAAGCATGAAAGCTAAAACAGGGGGCACGCGCCTAGTTAGGACAAGGTAACATAATGACCATCAGTGTCATTTTTAATAAGTTTTTCCACAAGGCACGGCATTGGCTTGGCTAGATACCTGTCTTATAAAATTGAGATAGGCCACATAAAAAAACACCATAACTTTGTGAAGTGCACATAACAAAATTTCCTTCAAATTATCCACTGAAAGGGTCAATAATTTATATTTGCTCCATTTGTAAAATCGATTATTACCCTACTTATAGTTAACACCCAATTGTGTACCGTTACCCATTAAAAAAAATATACTTATCAGTAACTAACATCCCTTACGATTAAAACCACCACAGCAACAGAACATTTTCATGTAAATTAACCATTTAATTCACTTAAACCAAACTAAACTAAAACTACGCATATTCCATGTACAGACTTATAACCAATCATATGAAATAAAAAAATATTTTAGAGTTACATTTGCAAAATATACACATATAACGTGTATAGTAATGACATGATTTCATTCAGTTATCTTTGCGGTGTGTTTTGTTTCATTCATAAATAACTGAGACGGTTTACCCATTCCTATTGGTCGAGATCGAGCCAGTCACGTGGGACTTAAACCGTTGATAAACTTTATTCTTGCACTGTATCCTCGATCATCTGTGCAGGTACAGGTAATGCTTTGCAATGCGCGCGCGTTGCCAATGCAAAACTAAAGGTGAGTGCGTACAAAATAGGATTGCGTAGTGAGTTTTACGGGGTCTGACGATACTTGTTTAACACTGGCTAAGCACATTAATGTGTGCACAAGACATGTATTGTGCTTGTCCCTGTTGAACATTTAAAGTGAAGCACGTACATGTACGTCAAAGATATAGCATGCTGCAGTGAAATTAAACTATCTATCAATTACTGTATCGACAGTGGCTAAAATACATCATACAAATTCCCACAGGTCTATGCAAATCGACGGTGAACATATACACAAATATTGCAGGAAATGTAAGTTTACTCAATCTGCCCCACAAATGAGTGTTAACATTCTAGGCATCGGTCGCTGCAAACTTCCATGATTTGGAAAGGTCAAATTTAAAAAAAAACACATTATGAAAGATGATCCTTAATTAATTTTCTTTCATGTCGACATGATTAAAAAATGTAACACATGTTTACATTTATTTCAAGTTGGGGGGTTTACATGAATAATGCGTATTGATCAGTATGTACATTTTAGATCAAGTTTGGGGATCACGGTTGTATGGCAATTATGTCACTACTTACACCTATATTACAGCCTGATTCAGATGTAATGATTTTTTCCCTATATTAAATTTCCCTGAACTTTACAAATGATTTAAACTCCTTCTTAATGGTCCACTCTTGAATACATTATATATTACACACACAGTCTCTCGGCAACATAAAAAATTGGAATTTATAGAATATTCCCCCTTATCGAGAAAGCACATGTATGGCTTAACTCTCACTTCTAGGCGATTGAGTCTGAGAGCGGCCAACGCTTGTTGACCCAATGACCTATGACCTTGAGGTCAACTTAATGTGCCATTTTCAGATGTACATGCAGGTCCTAAGGCAACAAAGGTAGAAAAGGCTACTGCCACATTGTCAGGACTTGGTTCACAATCACAATAATCATAATAAATTTCATCAGTACAATAACACTGATTATACAACGCCAGAATAAATCCCCGCCATCTGATTGGTGGGTTGCTGATCACATGTCATTGATTATTCGTCCCAACCCACGGCCCAGCCACACAGTAAAAATAGAAGTTCTATTGGTCACACTATTGGTGGCTCTGACCAATCAGATGACAAGGATTTATTCAGGCGTTGTATAAAACAAATAATGAATGTTTCACATTTTGTGCAATGGATAGAATAATTTCACGCGGTGACAGATGGAATATTCCATTTTCGCTTTGTAGAATGGAACATCCATCTGTCACCTCATGACATTATTCTTACCATTGCACTCATAAACATTCATTAGTTGAATACCATTGAGTTGTACACTGCTGCCATTTAACTGTTTAATATTTATTTTAACTGCTTCAATTATTTGACCAGAGATCTCACAATCTGCATACAAAATGAAGAAGATGATCAGGCACCATGCCAAACTGTGGCATTTTGTGGCAAGACAAAATTTGTTTGCCAAAAAATTATGACATGCATAGTGGTACATGTATGTTAAATTTCAAATTTGGCACATAGGAAGGCACAGATTTAAATTCAAACATTCCCTAAAATTATTGTGATGCGGTATGAGAACCTAAGGAATTTCCTTACATGTCAAATGCACGGGCCTGAAAAAATAATTTAATAAGCCGTACATCTATATTATATACAGACTATAAACAGCATATTCCCCATCTAGTTAAAATACTAGTAGAGTACACCATTACATGTATTTAAACGAACATCGTGACAACTGGGTTCATAACAAATGTTATACACAGGGTGGATAAAAAAAACCAAAAAAACACCAAACCGAGATATTATTGCTAATTGGAACAGAAGAAGGGCACATGTAAATCAAAGGGAGATATCCTTTGTTAGGGTTGAATCTCCTCTTTAAAATGACACCCTGATCATGTCATTACATTCACGGTTGACTGAGCAGTGACCAATTTTATGAAAGGTCTATTTAGAGAATTGCAGAACTTTTCAATTGTGGTATTTGTTGTGTCAATTGTCACAGAGTAAAAGGCTATGGTTGCCAATCAAGGCAGGTGGGGAAAAAAAGAGATTGATTTGAAGGAAATGGGATATTTTGGCATTCTGGAATGTTACAGAAAATGGTATCAAAAATATACTTCTATTTTTCAGTGCACTGCCATTGTCATGGTTTTATAACTAATATTATCAGAATTACTATGATTAAAAATACGAACTTGACAATGGCATATCCCTCAAAGAACCATAAATATCGCTGAATGTAGTCATCAGAACAAAATTGGTCATTAGAATGGTACTTTATAAGGACCGTATTTCACATCAGAAGTCGCGGTTGTTAATCCCCAAATCGTCGTCGGAGATAGCGTAAAAGTGATGCCGGAATTTGAAGGGGGCTGTATCATAATTCTGACGCCTGATAGGTCCGACGCCTCATAAGTCCGAAATTTTGGACTTATGAGGCGTTGGACTTATGAGGCATAACATTTATTTATTCCGCCTCATAGGTCCGACGCTTCATAGGTCTGACGCCTCATAAGTCCGACGCCTCATAAGTCCGACGTCGGAATGACAAGGCGTTTAAATTTGTTGGACCTATGAGGCGTCGGAGCTATGAGGCATCGGACCTATCAGGCCTCGGACTTATGAGGCATCGGACCTATGAGGCACCAGACTTATGGGCCTTTAATTGGTTAGGGGATGCAATTTTGTCGGACTTATGAGGCGTCGGACTTATGAGCGGACCCCATTTGAAGTACAACTTGCAATTTGAGTATTTACCAACAAACTATCAAAACATTGTTTGGCACTGCCTATTAAAGCAGGGACTCATGTAAAGTGGAACATTTTAGATTCTGAACATATGGCTTTATGGAACAGATGTGTGTAGTGCACTGTGTACAGTGAATGATGTCTTTCTATCCATTGGACTGTCACATTTACTACTTTTTAAATTATCTTGCAAACATACATATCTCAGTTTAAGAAAGTATTACAAATCTCTAGTCTTCGGCAGTACATAGATATCGATTTTGTCTGGGGTAGGACAGACTGCTGGAGACTACAGATTTATAATACTTTAACATGCATATCCCAGTTTAAGAAAGTATTATGAACAATATATGAGTGCTATTTATACATGTGCATGTTGTATTAAACATTTTGAAAATGCTAAAAACTAAAAATATACATTATGTGGAGAGAAAAAAATCATAAAATTGTGAGAAAATAACCCCCAGAAAATTGCCATTGCCATAGAAGCAAAGAAACTGTGTATCTTAACAATTATTTATTTCAGCTATCCTGTGCCCAACTATTACATGCGGAAGATAAAAAAAAAACAGTATGTTCAAAATTACACAAACAACAGAGAAGGACTGATGCGTTTTCTGCCTCCAAGCGTCTAAAAACTCACCCATTGTTATCCGAGGGTGCACAAATTATGTATCTCTGGAAAGCGCATGGTGTCAATGGCACTCGCATGTACTTGATCTTTTATTTTTAACGAGTGAAACGCTAATTGTACAACGAGTCTAGATGAATGTGTACATCATGCGCACCTTATTAAGCTGATCAGTCTAGGAGCTACATGCATGTATCTTATGTGCTTGTCAGCCAGATCACAAGCCGGAAGTTTACGAACTAATTCCCGAGGCGAATATTTCGTCAACTTCCAATACCCCGGAGAGCTAATATTGACTATCTACCCTCAAACCATGTTACATTTGTATACTAGTGCACTTTTGTCTTTCTGTATTGCGAGTAACAATCTAGCATCTCTATTCTCATCACCGACAATAGAAGGCATGAAAGGTTTAAAAAATAATTTTACATAATTTTCGGTGACAGGGAACCCTTACAAAGAGATACACTGCTAAAACACAGTTAATGTAAGATTGCTTGCAAAAACCTCGCCTCTGAGTCCTGATGCTGTCATTAGCTTGAATGCTTACTCGCTGCCCGAATGTCTTTCAGGATTTGCAGCAGGTTTTCCAGTCCGTAGATGCATCCTTTGTTACTGGACTCGATGTCCGTTATGCTGTCTGGGTCCCGCTCCGAATTGGCAAAATCGATGATCCGTAGGTCCGTCAACAACTCCGGCGAGTCTCCATTGGTATCCTGCAGCGACTTACTCGACTGGTCCCCATCCCCCTCATACATGAAGAGCAGGGAGGTGCTCAAGAAGCTGAAGGTCGAGATCGAGGAAACCACCTGGAGGAGTGCCTCCAATTTCTCAATAAAGGGAGGCAGGAGTTCCATCCTGACTTCGTTGCTGGTTGAGAAGTACTCACGTAGTGCACTCTGGAGGCCTTCCTTGCCCAGGCGGCGTCCATCGTATTTGTTGCGGCATTTGTAACTGCCTTTGCTGGCCTGATACAACTGCGTGAAAACAGTTACAATTACTTTGCCATGAATTCTGAATGGAAAATGCCCTATCCAATTGCAGTTGGTCCCTGATAAGAAGAGCGCTGTTAATACAACATCCGGCTTATAACAAGGATATTATTAGGCCCCAAGTCTTTGTTGTTCTTTGTTTTCCATTACTGATCATACAAGGTACCTGTTATAACAAGGTAATTTGTAGAGTCCCAAGGACCTTGTTATAAAGGTGTTCGACTGTCTTACCACCCGTCTTTAGATTTTGAGCACTTTTGTTGCTTCAAACGACAAAAATGCACCAATGACAAATGGTCGACTCTACCTTTAATAATAATAGTGCTTAAACATTTTCTCCAACACTCTTACCTGCATGCCACAAAGGCGTAGGCCTAGCGTGGCCGTGGTGGTTGCCGCATCGCGGTCGATATGCAGCTGCCGTTTGGCTTCTGAGTGGTCCTTGTGGTAGGTCTTCGTCCCTAGCTTAACATCCAGGATGCACGGGGAGCGAAACTTGGACGTCAGATTCTCCAAAAGGATAAACTCTGGAAGGGTTTCAACTGTTAATGGAAATATCGCAACGGTGGAACCAATGGTTTTTTTCTCTGTTTTTGTGGATAAAAGAAACAAAATTGCCCTTTTACAAGGGAAGTCACTGTCAGAAATTACCGGTAACAGTCTCCTTGTACAGCTTCGATCTGAAAAATGTGGGCCGAAGTTTTTGTCAAGAGAATGAAAAGAGTCTGGACGTGCACGTGCCTTTCACTTTAAACAGTATTTTTGACTTTACACTGCCACGAGGAGTTCTTGCAAGAATAACACAAAAATATCCTACGTTCAAATGAGGGAATACATGTGTGCTTTGGGATTTTTAAACACTCTGCTTAAGACCAGTTTGAGTCTGGATGCTGATAATTACCTGAGCCAAAGGCGAGTGTAATTATCAGTACCCAACCTCCAACTGGTCTTAAACATAGCGTTTAATACCGACCGAGCACATATTTATTCCCATTCATAAATACCTTTTGGAGCAAAAAAATAAATCAAAATATTTCGGTAAAGTCAAACAAATAAAGAATATTATCAACGATTGCAATCAACAAAACACTTCTCTTGCTATACAATGGTAAGTCAACAATGGTAAACAACTCCTTACATGGAGATTGGGGCGCACCACGCGTACTGCGTGATGTCGCGCAGAACACAAATGTACCAGTGTAGCGTGAATGTAGGACTATGAAATACTGACTCACTGGTAGTGTTGCGCATGCCTCAGTGAGGACTGTGAACTTTCAACAAATGAAACGGTGCTGGCACCGGATTTTAAGAGAGTCAACATGCCATGTGACACTGGAAAAGTGTTTAAGACCAGCCAGCCATGTCTTTATCATCCGTTTAAGACCAGCCACATGACAGGCTCTCCACCAATAAGAATGGTTAAACTGTCTTAGGTATTTATGAACACTCTTTCCAATTAACATCATTTCGTTAAAAACGTGTTTTGTAGCCCAATTGGGCGCATTTCAGCACATAATGGCCCTTTAATGATTGATAAATTTGGGGTAGGTTTAATGAATTACTCTATCACAATCATTGAATAAGTCTGCAGAGATATATGCCAAGGATACTATGGAGCTTGTTTGAGCCGAAGTCTTTGTGCATGCGAGCCATCTGCAGTCGGTTCAGATGAACTCCCCACGGGTTGCCCTTCTCAAACTGCTGCCGAGTTGTTTTGCTCTCCGAGTGATCTTCAAATAAGTCCTCTTCACTGGAGGAATCTTTGCTGTCCGATGGTTCACTTCTGATTTAACACAAAAGAATACACGTACATGTAAATCAGGACAAACAAGTTACGTACAGCACAGTAGAGCCTGAATGTAAGGTCACGCGGCGAGCTTCCGGATTACTCGCGGGGCCCACTTATGGGCATTTCACACTTTGGTATTTACCCAAACCAAACAGCTCCCTCTATGTCTGCCATATCTCAAAAAGTTGGCAAAAAAAGAAGAAAAACAATGTAAATTCAAACTTACTGCTGCGTAGGATTTGTCCTTTGTTGCTGTGACAACTCGGAACTTTTCCTGTCATGTTCTTCTGCCGAGTCTGGTACCCAGACTTGTCCATTGCTGGGGTACATTGGGCCGGTGCTAGTCTGGTGCTGTGACCTTATTGGGTAGGCTCGGACGCTCAACGAGCCATCATCTTCTTCTTGAACGAAAACATGGACAACCCCTGTTTGGATAAAGAAAATGAAACAGTCAGGTCTGTAGGAGCGAAAAAAATAAAAATTCAATTTTCACTTTCAGATGACATGTTATGTAGTACAGGGTGAGTAAAAAAAGGGGGAACCCAAACACCCCCAAAAATGTATTTCATATTTCAAAAAATATGTAGCACTAAAAATAATAATGACTGGAAAACCAATTTCATAAACTACTTGTAGATGAAAAAAATTACTGAAATTGCTCAATCCGTTCAAAGAATATCACCATTAAACATGTTAAAACGCAATGTCCCTAAAACCTGTTTCATGTGTTTCGTCAAAAAAAAAAACACCAAACAAACAATTTATTGTGCGTTCTAACTGTTTGGAACAACAAAGAAAATGACAGAGAATACAGGTTTGTTTCAACAACTGTCAAACAACCCTGCTTAGGAAAACAATATGATTTAGAAAATCCACTTTTTGTTTTAATTACTTTTAAACTGAGGTTTTATCGCTGGTGATGTTTGAAGACAATTAAGGTGTGTGCCCCGTGCTCTAAACAAATAAAACACAATTTCTTTCAACTTAGTTGCTTGTTTTAACAACTACATACATGAACATTGTACTTGTAGCACCCATGAATAAAGACATTGACAAAATAAATGGGTAACCGCCAACATAGGGCTGGAGAGCTCAGTTGGTAGAGCACTGGAATGGGAATCCAGAGGTCACAGGAATCTGCTCCAGTCAATTTCTATGTTCAACTTTGAACACAGAAACGTGCGTGTTATCACTTCCTCCAACGCGAAATGGTTAAGCGTAATAGGAAAATCAAAAGTTATCAAAACATCACTTTTCAAAGTCTACCAAATTAAATGTACCTTTGAAAGCTGGAGTGAATTTGGCCAGTTCTGGTGTGAGCATCTCGTAAAAGTGGAGCTCGGCCGGGAAGACCGGTTTACACACGGTGGCCTCGTCGTACTTCATCATTCCAGTGTGACCTCCGACCTGGTGCACGAAGGGCACAAGGGTCACGCACTCTGCACTCTCCATCGTCACCTCGGAGGTGGAGATCTGGTCATTGGCGTTAACACGCGACCGGCGGGCTTTGTCTCGTCTAGTGGTCTTGGACTGGAGCTGCTTGCGGTGATGAGCTGAAGGTTGTTAGTGCGTAACCTCTACAAAGATTATACTGTAAAAGAAATTTAAAGGGAATATACAACATTTGCAAACATCGAAAAATAAAACTACCAAGTTTTTGCGAAATACCTTAATAGGATGTTGGTAAATGACAGTCTAAAGCATCCTGTAAAATTATGGCACCTGGTATACTGTCATTTTCAAGAAAAATGGTATTTTTGTATCAATTTCCAACGCTGATCGGCCGATCAGCGTTGGAAACAACTGGCTTTTTTCAAATACTGGCCCCAATTGACCATTGCACTTGTTTGCAATCGATTACAAACCTATGAACGGGTACGAGCCAGCTAGACTGGTTCCCTGACCTTACAATTCCCCAATGTATGTAAACTGCTCTGTTTCTTCTTATATGGAGTCAGGGAACCAGACTACAGGAAAATGATCGTTTTTCTTGGTTTTTATAGCATTTCGAACCCAAAACCTCCAAAAAGTCAGTGTAACTATATTTGCTTTATATTTCCAACCCCCCAATTCCATCCATTTCTGAAAATTACAGCAAAAGCAAATGATGTATATTCCCTTTAAAGATAAGAAAGCTTTAACAGAAATTCATAAATGCCTACGACAGTCTATACCGATTACCAGTGGTTGCGAGCCCATCTTGAGAGCCAGTCTTAAACGGAAAATTTGTTCTCGCACGAATAACACAAGAAAAACACAAAAACGCCCAGTTTTTAAGGATAGTTGTACGAATGTACTTTTCGATTAACATTATTGCGTTCAAAACATGTTTTGCAGCCCATGGGCGTATTCCAGCTTGTCCAGAATGTAAACTGGAAAGAAAATATTAACATAACAGAGTGTACAAATTTACAACAGACCTCACCTGCTCGCTGTGGAGAAACTTACTAAACACTCTGGGCACCTTATCCTCATTTGAATAACAAATTTTACTAAACATCTGGGCACCTCAATCCTCATTTGAATGACAAATTTTACAATGGCAAAGTTGCAGCAGGTCACAAACTATATGTTGGCAATGGAATTTGTTGAATTGGTGTACATGTACATATAGTGACCTTGGGTTATTCCTGCCTCCATGGTTATGCCCACTATAGTATCCTATTGCCTTGGCCCTACGGTGCATGGCCAGACACAATTGAATATTCAATCATACTGACCCTGAATCCCGATCTGAAGCCAGACATTTGTGATACAGTGAAAGGTCACCATTCTATGAATAGGGGTGGGAAGCATACACTGGATATTCACAGTTTATAGCAGGATTAGCAGATAAGGGTGCAGTTATGCAGGTACAATGTAGTTTACAATAGTTGCTGGTATATAATCCTAATATGGTCCAGTGCTCCCATTTATTAACCAGAATAGCAACTTGAACAATATACGTACATATGTACATGTAGACGTACATTATACCTATGATTGATCATATGCACCCTCGGTGTTGGGAACCCTACATTAGGATTGCGATATATTCTATTATATTCGATATAATTCTATATAAATGCTGGGATTCATTATTACGAGGGAAGTAAATTAGTCCACTGGTCAATTAAATTAGTATTTTATGTCATGCAAATTGAACAGAATTTACGCCCCTACGGAAATTCTGGCAAATCTTTTCCCGCCCACCCAGTGTTTTTTTTTCCTACCTCCATTGAGGTAGCTAGGAAACACCCTGGGTGGGCCGTCACTGTGTTATGGGGAAGTTTTTTTTTATTGTTAGGCAAATTAGGACCGAGTTATGGGGACTTTCTGCTGTCTCCACAGCGTCTTCGATCCCTCGGCCCATAGTACCATGGAACAACTTGTGTGTACTCCCCACAACTACAACGTTTGTTTATGGTGTAAATTGAGGATATACACGTGCAACATCATCCATGAATTGAGGACAGGAACCAAATCGAGGACTCCTTGGTTGGAAAACATGTACAAGACCAATGAGAGTTGTTGCAAAAAAATAGTACAAACAAAGTACCATGGGACAACTCGTGTGTACTCCCCACAACTACAACGTTTGTTTATGGTGTAAATTGAGGATATACACGTGCAACATCATTGATGAATGGAGGACAGGAACCAAATCGAAAACTCCTCGGTTAGAAAACGTGTACAAAACCAATGAGAGCTGTTGCAAAAAAAGAGTATAAACAAAGGAAAAGGGAAGAGGAACAATAGAAAATCCTTGATTTACACCATAAACAAACATGCTAGAACAAGTATGTGTGTCCCAATTCCTGTTCTGTTACTTTGTGGGGACAATAAAAAAACGTCCCCATAACGCGGTGTAGGCCTACCCATGTACATGTACATGTTTGGCTGTGCTGAATTTTGAACTGTTCAAATGTTGAATTAACCCATTTGCATATATACATTGCATTAGGCAACAAAAAAAAAAAATTTGTTCTAGGTAGGGATTTTTTTGGGGGCAATTTTTTGTTTGTACAATCATATGGAGGTGTCTGCGTGAGTCAAGGGTAAAACTAAAAGGTAGTAATTGATGGTTTTGGGTGTTTTTTCCCTTCTCATTCCCCCCCCCCCCAAAAAAAAAGATGAGGGTAGGGGCTGTCAGAATAGGGTAGGTAGGGAAACCAGAAGCAGAATGATTTTTTGTTTGGCCTTATATACCTGTATTGTGTATTCACCATTGAATCAATAAACCATTGAGTGCTTGGGAGGTCCAGGGAGTAATGAGGCAGGGCAGTTTCGGGTCGTTCAGTGACCCATAACTGAGCCTGCCATTCTAATATCAATAGTTAAAATTGAATAAGATGTAGGGGCCATTCAGAATAGTCAATGTTAAAAAAATTTCAAAACTCTGGGTGGGTGGGTCAGATGAAATAACTGAAAATTGAAATTCAGTTTTCATTTATTTTAAAGTAATACAAAAATAATACAAGAATTAGAAAAAAACCCCAAAATACCCAGCGGCCTCAGATTCGAGATCGTCTGTCATGTCTGTCATTGGACACAGCAAAGCTAATCATAACAAAGCCGAAATAACCCTTTTTTTTATTGAATAGTCATTCAGCATTAAAAAATTGAAATTTGGGGTGGGTCACAGGGTGGGTCAAAACAATTTCGGAAATATATCGAATTTTTTAAATCAGAAAGTGCTGCCTTTTACTACTTTTATACTAGGCTTTTTCAGATGTCTATTTTTCGTGAAATTTCCAGATTCGTTTGCACACGTTTGCGTATCAAATTTGAACATGAAATTTCATGAAAATTAGACATCTGAAAAAGGCAGCACTTTCTGATTAGCCTATAACGAGGGTGAGTATGCTTCAAAAGCAAAAATAAACTACAAACTAAGTACTCCGCCTACTCTAGCTTGAGTAACTCCAGCTGACATGCTCCATATTCTTTCACATGTAACATGTGAATGAATATGGAGCATGTCAGCTGGAGTTACTCAAGCTACGCCTACTCCTAGAACTATGACTATGAAAGTACGAGGCTCCGAGTCCGAGTGCAAACTAAGCCTAGTAAATGTGAAAATCAAAATTTGACTAAGTTCGACATGTTTTTGTACTACTCCTAGAACTAGCAGAGCATCATAGTTCTAGGACTTTGTAGGAGTATTTTTGTACATGGTGGAAGTGTGGCCTTTATTTACGGAAGTAGTCCAGTAGTAGCTGGAGTTACCCAGGGCTGGGTAACTGAGTTTTATCATTGGGTTGTCATTTATGACAACCCAATGATAAAACTCAGGGCTGGGTAACTCCAGCTAGTCCAGTAGGCAGTAAATTAAAAATTGGCCACATTTATGGAGCTAGGAATGAAACAATCATGACAACAACAAAATGTTATCAATCAACAATCTAAACAGTAAACTACATTTTTAAAAGTGCGATCCTCCACATAATCTTCGCTTTTTAAAAAACATGTCTAAAAAACAATCGCTTGTTACTTACCGACCTTCATTTTTTTCGAAATTCAAAGGCGAGTGATTTACACAGCTGCACAAGTCAGCGACGAACGTTTTTATGGTGAAGGCGGATTTTTATGATCGCGTACGTGTACTACATGTACTACGTACGTGTACGTGTACGTGTGTACATTCTGCTGCCCTCAACGTCAATATAACGTTCCATGTTAGGGGCGGGGCCAGCGACGTTTACGGGTGGTGGGCGGATTTTAATATCAGATTGGAATTTTAAAAATTAATCCCCACCCAGTTCATTCCTAAAATACAATATCTACTTGACTCTCTTTTCACTCAAATTAATTTTGAGCTAACCGATCAGGATTAAAAACAAAAGACAAATTACAACAAAAGCATCAAATTTGCATTAAATTAGTTCAAAAAAGTTTAGACTTTTTCCTTTGGCCTTGTTGTAGCATGAATGGGCAGGTATAGCTGTCCATATGTGCAAAAGTGGAAAAATATTGTATGACTAGCCAGGCCTACACGCAACAAAAGCTCACAGGTTTCTCCAACGATCCTTACACACTTTTCCAACAACAAAAAAGAAGAAGTATTCTTCAAAATGGAAATCCAACCGAAAGATTCAGATTTGCACTCAGTGAAGTCAGCAATAAGTTTGTTAAGTTAAAAAATATTGGTTAAAGTGGTCAGAAATTGCCTCAGATAGCACCACAGAGCATTTAGAATCCAATTTTATTTTTCGGGGCCCTATTAAGCGGGCCCCGAACCCCACGCCTGTAGCTCAGCATTCTGGTAGCCAATTCAATGACTCCAACCTCGAAAACGATGTTCAAATAATTATCTTTTGCTACGAAAATATTAGTTAAAGCATCGAGAAAAGTGGTAAGAAATTGCTTCAGATCACACCACAGAGCATATAGAATCCAATTTTTTTGGGGGGCCCTTAAGCGGGCCCGGCGAACCCCACGCCGTAAGGGCTTCGCGATTCGCGCTCGCATCAGTTCTGATCAAGGTGTGTTCCCCCCCCCCCCCCACTTTTGAGAAGCGATTGACGCCCCTGCAATGTACGGTATATACTCCGCCTCAGTGTTGTCTGGAGAATCTCCATCGTTTCATGTACAATGTACTACTTAATTAATAAACCCATCCAAACAATGATTTCAATTCAATTGATCCCTCAGTGATCATGTCGATTAAGCCACAAAATACACACACACAAAAACAATAGATCAGCCGCACACAAAAGTTTTTTTTCCATAATTTTATTAGCAAAAACACATTTTTTTTAAGGTAAATCAGATACAAAAAAACCCCACCTTTTTTAATTTTAAAAGTAAACACTAATGCACCCATCAATTGTCCTCCTTCCATTCTTAAACTCTGGCGTTAAACTCACACAATATAGATATTGCCAATTTCAGAGCTTTACTTGTTTATATTACTAACAAAATTCAGACTTAACTTCTCAATCCATAGCGGGTAGGTGTCACCAAATACATACCCGATTGGGGGGGGGGGGTGATAATTGCATTACTATAGACTATTTGCATTGCAGCCATTTTTGTGTGCAAATTTGTTCCACATGAATGGGCATGAGTAAGACTTCTTGCGCACTCTTTGGTTGTAAATTAAAATAACTAAAAAGACCTCAACAATGGCCGACGAATGGAAAGACTCTATTGCACACACAACGTGTAGTTAGTATAAAAACAGCTATGATAAGTACTCTTAAAGTGAAATATAATACATAGTAAGCTTAGTAAGTTATTTCAGAACTCTCTTTTGGACATACAATGTAAAAACTAATCCCCAAAATTATTCAGACTAAAATATGTACAGACCAATACCAATAAGAACAAAATGTGGTACCAAATCAAAGAACAAAATGTACCATGCAGAAACAGTTAGCACAAAAATTAAGCAACACGGAACAAATGTAAACACTCCAATTTTGCCACTGTCAAATCATACTCTATTTGTGTGATAAGGGTTTGGGCAAGAAACATTATTTTTAAGAACATGAATAAACGTACAATTACTCTGCTAATAACTAAATATTAAATGTCTTCAAAAAGCAGCAAGCATCATTTTAGGCATAAGGCAAGGAATGTTTGGCATAAACTTTAACACAGTTCAATTAAAATGCTTACCAAAACATTAACATATATAGGCTTCATGTTCCTAATTGCTCTATGCATGTTTTACATGACATAACTTAGCGACATGTGTATTTATAGTCAAGGATCACGCACACTCCAGGTATGCTAGCAATTTATCATGGAGGCCCCTTTCAATAGTGAAAACATTGTGTTAGCTTAAGTTTGGATAATCCGGCATTTCGTAAATATTTACATATATTATTTTACATTGGAAGCAATACACTTCCATATATAGGGTTGACCACAGGCCAAACATATGGTTGTTATAAAGGGCGAGTCAAAAAAAAGTGAACTAGAATAAATTTTTTTCCCCTTAAAAAAACATGAAATTTTGACAGTTACTAGTCAATAATATGTACATTATCCCTACGTTATTTTTATTAAATGGAGCGAGCAACTATATTTTATAAAAATATTTCTCATTAGGTCACTTCCATTATGACGCACCCTGTATATTGCTATTTCATTGGTCTAGAACGGCCACATGTCCAGTCTATAAAAACGACTGTTTACCTCATATACACGTGTTGCATATAAATTACCTCATATACACTGTGTTCCATATATAAAGTGTGGATAAAAAAAATTAAAAAAAA